GGGGGAGCGGGGGCGGCGAGGATTCCGAACTCACCTGGGTCAAAGAAGGCACGAATCGGAGCAGCAATGCAGCTGCCGTGGCGGAGCAACGCAACTGTCTTTGACGTCGACGCGAAGGTGACATTGCACCGGCCTTTTTTCTGGGGAAGCGACGCAAGGGAAAGACCCTTGGATCCTTCTGCGGAGCCCGTTTTAACAGCCGCGGATGGCACCGGCAACCGAATCGTCGCCCCCCTTGGCATCGACTCCCACCGCGGCACCAGTTCTCCCGTCACCCGATCGTGGCCCTCAGCCGACGGATCGACGACCCAGACTTTCCCGGGATTCGAATCGTCGCCCGCTGGACACCGATTCTCACCTCGGCACCGGTTTTCCCCGCACCCGATCCTGGCCCTCAGCCGACGGATCGACGGCCCAGACTTTCCCGGGATTCGAAACGTCGGTCCCGCGACACTGATCCCCCCGAGGCACCGGGTCCCGAAACCCACACCCCGCAAGCCGCATTCCCTCGCAGGCCTTCCACAGAAAGTATAAATAGTGTTGTGGGCCCACCATTTCCCATTTCTGCAAGTTCGTCGAGAGCAAAGGAGCGTCGCGGAGGTTCGCAAAGCGTCCGAAGCCGGTGGAGCGTTGACTCGCACATCGGAGGCTCGCGCATAACGCAACGGAGATCTCGCTCGCACATCTGAGGTTCGCGCAGCATCGGAGCAAAGTTCTGAGCATCCGCATCGAAGGCAGCAGCGGAGGCCTGGGAGAATGGTAAACCGCCGTGAATCAACCACGTGCTGCCACGTGGCATCTCCGCCCATGCAGAGGCCGCCGTCGAGTCGAACTCGACGGGGGCATTGTCGAGTCGAACTCGACAATGGCCTGCGGTCATTGTCGAATCGAACTTGACAATGGCCTGTGGTCATCGTCGAGTCGGACTCGACAATGGCCAATCCGCCGCCATCGAGTCGAACTCGACGGCCGGCCAGTAGGGCGTCGTCGAGTCGAAGTCGACAGTGACCAGTAAGGCGTCGCAGAGTCGAACACGACGACCGGCAAGCACCAAAGCCTCCGGCCACTGTCGAGTCCGACTCGACGATGACCCCGGGCCGTTGTCGAGTTCGACTCGACGATGACCACAGAGCGTTGTCGAGTTCGACTCGACGATGACGAGAGGCCAATGTCGAGTCCGACTCGACGATGACCCCGGGCCATTGTCGAGTTCGACTCGACGAAGACCACAGGCCATTATCGAGTCCGACTCGACGATTAGCCCGGACAATGTCGAGTCCGGCTCGACAATAACCCCGGGCCATCGTCGGGTCGGTCTCGACAATGTCGAGTCCGGCTCGACGGCCTGGGTTCATCGCCGGGTCGGTCTCGACAATGGCGAGACGAAATCGTCGACGGCCTGGGGTCATCGTCGTGTCGGACTCGATAGTGGCCGGAGGCTTCGGCGCTTGATAGCCGTCGAGTTCGACTCGACGACGCCGTACTGGCCACTGTCGACTTCGACTCGATGATGCCCCATTGTCGAGTCGGACTCGACAATGGCCCGCGGCTTTGGCGCTTGCCGCCCGTGTTTTGGACTCGATGGCCCCCTGCTGGCCACTGTCGACATCGACTCGACGACGCCCTACAGTCCCATCGTTGAGTTCGACTTGACGACGGCGGGCTGGCCATTGTCGTGTCCGACTCGACAATGGCCAGAGGCGTTGGAGCTGGCCGGCTGTCGACTTCGACTTGACAGTGGCAAGCCGGCCGTCGTCGAGACGATCTCTACAAACTCGACCTTCGGCAAGTGCCAAGGCCTCTGGCCATCCGTCTGAGCTTTGTCGATTGTCCGTCATCGACCTTCTCGCGACGAACGCGACGATGGATAGCCACCGATAGAATTTGTCGTTCTGTGTGTTTTCTCCTCTGTTTTGGAAATTCGCAATGCCTGGTTGTTGTGTATAACTGTGATGGCTCCTCGGTGTGTGAGCGAGTTCGAACTTAGCAATGGCTCCCTGTTGTGGTCGTCAATCGTTCGTGTGTGTAGGACATTTACGATGGCTCACCGCTTCGATTACTCGTTCCCTTTGAATGCTAGTGCGAGGTACATACGAGGTTCAAGGTGGGAGACAGCTGTACTTGGGGCTCGTAGAGAAGACTTCGACACGGACCCCTGGATGAGCGTTATGCCCTGGCTTGAAAGGCCCTTCGATGCATGGTCCGAATTAGACTGGGAGAACACAATGTAAGACTGCCCTTGGGCGTCTAATTATCGACTAGCATCCAGCCACGAATGGGGGACATTCATCTTCCTCGACCACATCCTCGTGACGAAACACACGCCGGTGTTGTCTGCGGCATTTCGTACCCGAGACCTGTCTTTGTCGTTGACTGCGTACAACGTGTCGTGTTCGCTGCGCTTGTGGGGACCATCGATGAGGATGGAGTTGCTGGACTGCACGAAACAGAAGCAGTTTCTAGAGAAATATCCCCTTCCTTTCGAGGACAACTTGACGGGGAGTGTGTCGTACTTCTGCGTACATGTTGATCTCTGTCGTTTCTATTTCGCTAGGGTTCTTTGTGTTTCGGTAAGAAATAGAAGTAAGACTTCAGCGGAAGCAAGTATTTACGTGTCCAGGAACGAGCTCATCGTTGACGGGGACTCGATTATGTTACCGCATGGTTGGAGGAACAGTAAGTTTGATGTGAAACTGGCGGGGCAGGTTGACACACCCCGGTATTGGGAGGAGGTGGAGGAGTACATGACGGTCATTAGAGACGTCATCGGTCACACATTAGCCAAATCATGTGGTTTCGTCCGTGCGCGATACGTGTCTTGCTTCTCCGCCACTGCAACCCTGTGTAGTCCACAACTCCTAACGTACGGTTCATCCCTGAACGCAGTGTACGGTTTCGGGGCGAAAGGATAGGCGAGGTCGTGGGGGAGGTCATGGGAGATGAACAGTGTAGGACATGTCAGCTATTCAGCTGTTCATCAAAAGTGAAAACTGAGACTGTGGCTGCGTGTGAGCATTGAGTTTGATGTGAGCTTATCGATGCCGGTTAAACCTCTCTCTCTCTTTCTCTCTCCTTATATGTGTGTGTGTATGGTTAGTAATCGGTGGATCGTACTGTTAGTCGCTCGTTGCGGGTGTCGGTTGCCTGGCTTGCCAATTGAATGCCTTGAATTGATATAGGATGTAGGCTTCCAATTGATGTGCCTTGATTGGTGTGCCTTGTTGGTGACGCCGCTCCCTATTCAGCGAAAGATGCACAGTGTGAGAAATGTGGGCTATTCAACAAGAGTGTGAAATGAGACTGTGTGTATTATGGAAGCAATGGGTTTGATGTGAAATTATCAATGCCGGCTTTCGATTCGTCTGCCTTGTTTGATGTGAGTTTTAGGTGCGCCGCTCCCGTGTTCTGTTTGCCTGCTGTTGGATACGCTGTCCCTTTCCTGTGTTCTGTTTGCCAGCCCGATGGAGTCGAACTGTCGCGCTGGCCCGCCACGTTCGAGTCGAACTCGATCGAGTCGACCTCCACCGAATCCACCTCCATCGAGTCGACCTCGATCGATTCGAACACGATCGAGTCGAACACGATCGAGTCGAACACGATCGAGTCGAACACGATCGAGTGGAACACGATCGAGTCGAACACGATGGAGTCGAACACGATCGCCTGGACTCACGATCGGATCGAACACGATCGCTTGGACTCACGATCGGTTGGACTCACGTTCGAGTTGAACAAGATCGCCTGGACTCTCGATCGAGTCGAACACGATCGCCATGACTCACGATCGACCCGAACACGATCGAGTCGAACACGATCGAGTCGAACACGATCGACCCGAACACGATCGAGTCGAACACGATTGAGTCGAACACGATCGAGCCGAACACGATGGAGTCGAACACGATCGCCTGGACTTACAATCGGATCGAACACGATCGCCTGTACTCACGATCGCCTGGACTCACGTTCGAGTCGAACACAATCGCCTGGTCTCACGATCGAGTCAAACACGATCGCCTGGACTCGAATTGATATTGGAGGTAGGCTTCCAATGGATATGCCTTGATTGGTGTGCCTTGTTGGTGACGCCGCTCCCTATTCAGCGAAAGATGAACAGTGTGAGAAATGAGGGCTATTCAACAAGAGTGTGAAATGAGACTGTGTGTATTATGGAAGCAATGGGTTTGATGTGAAATTGTCAATGCCGGCTTTCGATTTTGACTTTTAGGTCCGCCGCTCCCGTGTTCTATTTGCCTGCTGTTGAATACGCCGTCCCTTTCCCGTGTTCTGTTTGCCAACACGATCGAGTCGAACTGTCGCGCTGGCCCGCCACGTTCGAGTCGACCTCCACCGAGTCCACCTCCATCGAGTCGACCTCCATCGAGTCGAACACGATCGAGTCGAACACGATCGAGTCGAACACGATCGAGTGGAACACGATCGAGTCGAACACGATGGAGTCGAACAAGATCGTTTGGACTCACGATCGGATCGAACACGATCGCCTGGACTCACGATCGCCTGGACTCACGTTCGAGTCGAACACGATCGCCTGGACTCGCGATCGAGTCGAACATGATCGCCGGGACTCACGATCGACTCGAACACGATCGAGTCGAACACGAGCGCCTGGACTCACGATCGGATCGAATACGATCGCCTGGACTCACGTTCGAGTCGAACACGATCGCCTGGACTCGCGATCGAGTCGAACACGATCGCCAGGACTCACGATCGACTCGAACACGATCGAGTCGAACACGATCGCCTGGACTCACGATCGAGTCGAACACGATCGCCTGGACTCACGATCGACTCGAACATGATCGCCTGGATTCAGGTTCGAGTCGGAAAGGACCGTGTTGAATACGACACGCACACGAGCGCCTGGACTTACAGTCGAGTTCGGGCGAGCTCAACAACTGCAATCGAGTCGAACACGATCGAGCTGGCCTGTCATGCTCGCGCCGAACAAGATCGTGTTGACCACGGGCACGATCACGGTCGAATTGAACATGATCGGGGCTGCCTTGTCACGAAGGAGCCACGCTGCCTTATCACTATCTGAAACTTTTCTGCTGCTCGTGCCATACCAACATTGTGAGGCCTTCTGATTTTTTGCTTCACGGTGATGTGCTGTGTTGCTTTCAGATTCGGCAGCGCTGCAAAACATGGAAGGAGAGGGGAAGGCAAGTAAACGACGAGCAAGTAAGAATTCTGGGAGCATGGAACAATCTCCGAAAAAATCGAAGGGGACGCCGGCCGCTGGGGTTGGGAGTCAGGAGGCGCCGGGGTCTAAGCAGCAACGCACCCCGGTTCCGAGGGGTGCACCTTCCACGGGCACTCCGTCGACTCGTGTTCGGGGCTCTGGACCGGATAAGGCTGTGTTGATGACTGGCGGGCCTGCGGGTCAGGAACGTGTGCCTGGTCCGCAGCAGGGGAGATCTGCAGTGGAGGTTGTGCCCGGACGTAAACCGTCTGGAGAACGTAAAGCGTCTGGTGAAACGACTGTCACGGGTTGGCGAGACGATGTGCCCGTGATTGACCACAAGGACAAGTTCTGGATGCTGGACTGCGTGGGGGAGACCGGAGAACCATCGAGTGGCCTTGTTCTGTACGTGGTCATCAAAGACAATATTGTGCCGGTTGGCGGCCTGGTGAGGTGGACTGGACAAAATGTGCCGTCTGCAACTTTCGAGTTGACGATGGTCCTGAATGGAAGAGGGGAAAAAATACCAAACATTAAACACGTCGCTCTTCGATGGGCCAACCACGCGGGGTTCGGAAAGTCGCTGGTTGATGTGTTCAACCCACCAGGGACATTGACAGTGAAGTTGCCTAACCTCGTTGACGTCCTCAGGTTTTTCGACAGTAATGTGATCGCGGGCAGAGAGCCAGTTGTGCATCCAGAGGACCGCATATCAGAGCCTAAATGCGTGCTTTCGAAAACCGTGGAGACAGGGCCTTCGATCACGATCCGCGATACGCCGCCTGGTCCGAAAGCTGGGCAGATCGGAGAGAAGGGTCCATGTCGAGGACTGGTCGTACCGTCAGCCCCTATGAAAACCAGGCCAACGGCGACCAAAGCACCAGTTGCCTTGGGCGATCACGCTATGATGTGGCCACCAAGGGACATCTCCCCTTGGCGGGCCAGCAGCGCTATGACTACACTGTGCCAAGTCGCGCAGAGGAAGCACATGAGTATTTTGAAGATGAGGATGAAGAGAACAACGAGGAATATTCGGAACGAGCAGGAGGACAGGAACAGTATGCTGCGGGTGGCGGCGGCATGACGAGGCATCCAGGAGAGACAAGTAAAGTGGTTGGACAAGATGAAGACAGTGAGCACACTATGAGCGAATTGGGTGGGGAGGTTGGTCTGGCAGGAGGATATGGGAGCAGCTACGAAGGATGTGAGGGGGATGTGCACGCGACAGTGGCTRTGGCTGGRCATACAGATGCTGCAGGGCGCGCTGAGCGAAAGAGGAAGCACAGGCGGGAGAGGAAAAGTCTTATGGATAGTAAACGGAGTAGGCCAGAAGCGGGTGAAAAAAGACAATTGAAAATAATGCCCGTGGATGAGGCGGTCCAGCGAACACGGGAGACTGAGGCAGCCGCGAAGAAAAAGCAGCAGCCAAAGAAAAGAAAGGCAAAAGGTGGTGTTATGGAAAAGACTTCCGTTTTTCCAGCGGAACGACCGCAATCGGATGAAGAGGCCAAAGGCAAGACAGTTACTAGGCCGCCAAGTTAGAGAAACGTGCCATCAGTGACTTCTTCTGGTGTTCTCAGCAAAGGCTTCTTCCTTGAGTTGGACGAGCGTGGGATCCAATGTCCAGACATGGAATTCATTTCTGTCCAGTTCGACCGAATTCTAGATATCCCCGACGGGGAATTCGGATACAATCAATGCTATCTTGTGCAGCAGACGGTTGACGACATTTATGACGCAATGGTTGCATCGGGTGAGGCTGCTATGAGAGAGAGAATGACTGGAGCTGCCGGTGTGAATGTTTGTACATTGTATGAGAAGCCTGTCCTTTTGTTGGTTGCCCTCCGTGATACATTGCATACTGACGCTTCAGGGAGGATTGTGAGAGCAAGGAGGGTGTTGCCCGATGATTTCGACCTCGAATCTGTGAACAAGTACTACTATTACCCTCTCAGCGGTCAGCATAACGTGGCAGCAGCAAGAAGGTGTTTTGTTGAACGCCCTGACATCGCACAAGAGCTCCGATTGTGGCACGAGTCGAACTGTCCTGAAGCTAAAGGCGGCTCAGCGGCAGAAGTGAAAAATGCAGAGTATAGAAAGTTTGCAGGAGAGGCTCTTCGTTTGACCGGGATTCGTAATTTAATTGACATGTCCCTTACTACTCAATGAAGCGGCCAGTGGTCTGATGCCCTCGGGCCCTACATGTTGTTCGCAAGGGTGACAGATGACGTTTTCGAAAAGGTGAAACAAGTGTACGCCGCTTCGGAAGCTGGACAATTGCCGGGAAGAGATGCTGTGAAGCCTGCTACCAAACAAGGTGAATCAGGGAAGGCACCGAGGGCTGGATCCGGATTTGAGTTGAAATGTGGAGTTAGGTATCCGGTTCACTGGGTTCAGGGTACCAAAGGACCTGGTTACCTTGTGGTTGTGCACGATCCGGATATCAGAGCGTGAAAGCCTTTTTCAGCGCTTGGGAGGCGTGAGCGGCTGCAACTGTTGCGAGACATTCTCACAGGCAGTATGATACTGACTCCTTAGCAAAGTGAAGCTGCTCAACGTGTCGGGAAACATTCAACGGAAACATATGTGGAAATGGTGAAGATTGAAAGAGCAATGTTGAGGATGTTYCACTACTTCGTCTTCATTTCTGACCCTCACAGGAAGTCGTCAGAGTGGACGGAACCATTCTTCAACAACCTTTCCGATTTGTTTGATAAGTACTCTGATGAAGGATTGACGTCCGAGAGGTGGATCGACCATCGTTGCCATATCAAAGACATGAGTTGGGTGCGAACGTTCCCGGCTACACTTGGAGGAGAGGAGGAAAAAGGAGAAGAGGGCTTCAAGAAAACAACATCACTTGCTGCAAAGTGCCCAGAAGAGTTCGTGCAGTTTGTCAACAAGCTGCTGCGCAGATCAGAAACCAGGGGTTCGGAAAGCATAAGAATGTCGGGCTCGGCGCAATATATACATTTAAAAAAACAGAACGTGAACTCTGTTTTCGTCCCATTTCAATGAGAACCAAGCGATATTTCAGACGAGATGGATTCCAAGGAAATATACAGAGTCGTCAAACATCTAAGTTGCCACACGACCGTGCTAGATTTGTGTCACCCAACCCAGATAGGGGTATGGACTGCAGAAGTCTTTGATTGTCTGCGGAAGTTCATGGGAAAACTGGCTGGTGATTATTGGACATTATTGTGCTTCGTTCCTCGGTCTTGCGAGTATACATTTTTCAAGCGAGTTATAAGTTGGGAGATTGGCATTCACTTGTCTATTCTAAAGTGGACTCGTCAGCAACAAATGAAGGCAAAGCATTTATATAAGGTTGCGAACTTGCCTTTGGAGGACACAGACAGAATGGTTGTCATCATGTACTCCAACGATGGGGATTATCACCGCAACACTATTTTCTTGCTTGAAGACATTCCAGCAAGCACTCCAGCTGCAGATCGATCATCTGGCGAGCAGGCGGGTGACTTATCAACACTTGTGCGCAGAGAGAGAAGGCCAAAGATGTTGGCTGATGTCGTGGAGAAGAACTTCACGCCCACGAAGTTGAAAATGGCAGGAATGGAGCCAAAGGAGAACATGGAAAGGAGCCAAATGCGATGTTGGAGACATTGGAGCATTTTTGTCCTGCGGATGAGGCGGTTGTTTTCCTGGGAAAAGGTCATGCGGC